CCTTTTTTTACAAAATAGAATCAAGATGATTTTTAATACCTATAATTTACTACCCTTTATTTTTGTTTATATATGTTACCGGCCAAACCCGATTTTAGGATAAACTAGTTTTGCCCAGGCTAAACTAGTTCGAGTCGAGATAGCTTAGTGTCCGGGCGCCTTTAATTCAATATACTCCAGCAACCTGAGTTCAATCCCCGGTGCCGGCACCCATGAAATTGTTAATTTTAAGTGCCGAATTATCACGTGCACAGCGTTGAAGGAAAACATCGTGAGGAAACCTGCATATTTTCGAAGTAATAACAAAAAAAATAAAATATTTCGAAGATATGTGAAGTCCGCCAATCCGCAGTGGGGCCGCGTGGTGGACTATGCCCTGATACCCTCTGTACAGAGGAGGCCTTTGCCCAGCAGTGGGATATGTATAGGCTGATACTTTACTTTTTTACTTTAAACTAGTAGGAGTAACTACTCCTATCGCATATAGGAAGATACTTAAACTGAATTAAACACTCCGTAATTGGAAAAATAATCATTTTTATTAAAACCATAATGATTCGTCGTTAAAAGTAATGGATAACTGGTCATATGGTCAATCATACTATTACAAATAATAAGTGTTTTAATAGAAGCAATAGTCATGTCTAATATAATAATAATAAATAAATATTCTTAGGACACATTTTTACACAACGTTCTCTAGTCACATACTATCAGTTATATAATAGCCATAGTACAAACGTTGTTTACGCTTGTACTATGGGTACTATATAACTGATTAACAAACTGAAACATACTTTTCTTTATTAAATGAAACTATTTTACGGATTTTATCGCGTTTTTCTATTTTGATTTGAACTCCCGACGTTTCGAACCCTTTCCAGCGTTCATGGTAACGGAACAGTCCCGTGACCATGAACGCTGGAAAGGGTTCGAAATATTATTCATTTAATATGTATAATATTCGCGTAAAATCAAGAAAACAATATACTTTTCTTTTGTAAATAAATACATATTATACATATATTAACACCCAGACAGAAGAAAAACACTATGTTCATCACACAATATATTTCTAGCAGCGACGATCGAACCCTACACACTTTGACGCAGGAGGCAGGTACACTACCCATTACGCCATTCGGGTTGTCAGATGAGATGAAGTCGCAACCCCACGCCCAATAATTGTATTCAAGTTGTTATTTATTTTTACATAGTTTACTTTGGTGGCCCTTAGAATTCCATAGTATCACTGCCTTCTTGCGCTGGCATCTGTTTGTGGAACAGTTTTTGTTGCAGCTGCATCTCAAAAAAACTTGACCTGATCCAACTGAATGTTTCGTAGCTTTTATATTTATCCTTAATAATATTTCAGAGACTTGCTTTATATCTGCTGCCTCTAAAAGGAATGGCGAGCGAGGAGCGGCGCGGGGGCATGATTGGAGAACTCCCGCATGTACAAGTCCTGACATGTTTGCTCAATTACTTTCGACTCTGCAATTTATTTTTGTTTAAACTAGGCCATACCAGTTTACCCTAGTGTGCGTATTTATATCAGGATCCACTAGTTTAGCCTCACCTAAACTGGTCTATCGTATCGGGCTTAGGCCAAATTAGTTTGGACTAGCCTAAACTGGTTTATCCTATCGGGCTTGGGCCAAATTACTTTGGACTAAGCTATACTAGTTACTCCTATCGCGTATAGGCAAAACTAGTTTGTCCTGAAATCGAGTTAGGCCGGTAACATATATAAATAGAATATTTTTGGGGGAATTCGTCAATGACACTCTGACCAAGGGTCAATCATCCTTCTGTCTTAAACAGGTTAAGCTAAATTTACCTTGCGACCTAAATTTTTGCCACACGATGTTTTCAGTATACGTGACAAAAACAAACGAGTCATTATATGATAATGTGATCCTTGCTTCTTTTACAGTAACGATAAAATTCTCCTCGTAAAAATAAAAAGTTTGGAACGCCAAACTTTTGGTAATCACAATGTTACATTACTTTTAAGAAATTTAAATAGCTAAATAATCTATTGTAACAATTTCGAGTTAAGGGAGTTAATTAAGATACCTATTCCATTAATTTCTCCTTGATGTCATTTTGTTTTATATATTAAACTAATACAAACACACGTTAAAAAGCAAAAATTAATACCTGTCGAACCCTGCACTAGAGCTAAAATGTATAAAAATGTTATAAAAATGGGCTTACATTTAAATTATTGCATTCATTTAATTGTAAAATAAAAAAAAAGTTGTATTTTATTCCAAGAATCGGTTCCAAAGTCCGTATCGTACAGCTGAATATAATGCTTTAAAAATATTTAGGTACCTACATAGTTGGTTGAACCAATATCCATTAATCCAATATCAAAGATTATAATATCCTTCAAAGGCTGCTTCAAAAACCGATGTATTATTTCTTTTAAAAGTTTTGCATCAAATATTGAGAATCTACTTTGATCTCAATAAAAATAATTATATGGAATAAATATTGCTGAAGCCAACGCAAAATGAAACTTGCGTAATTATATGATTTCTCTCACATAATAAAAGATTACTGAAGCCTTAGGACACAGGCTTACGTAAATAACCAAGACTGATGATATAGAAATAAATTTTTTAATATAGTCAAATAAATATTGAAAAAAAATATATAACGATATACGAATAATTGTGTGAGTATAGCTTGTACTATGTTAAAGAGTGGCGCTTATTCTGTTAGGCCAACACGCTTTAGCGTTGCACTCGAAATGCAGCTGCAATGTGGCCATACTATGAAATCATTTTGTTAACTCGCTATATACAGTATGCAAAAGAGGTAATGTGCTTAGTGCTAGACAATATTAGTGTGTATGTAGTTTGATTAAAAAAATTCCAATTAACAGCACAATGTAACCTCAGGATAGTGAGGGCTCGATATTTATAGTTTACTTAGATTCATATTTATAGCTTTGATGCAAATATTGCCACCAACATATCATTTTAATGATAGATTTATGTGTAGTTATTGCATTGAAGTGTCGGCGTAAGATCAACACAACTTGTTTATAGTCGCCAGGAAAAATAATGCCGGGAAAAGGGCGTAGCCTCGGATATCCATTAATTCATATTTACTACTAGCACATTTATGAAACATAAAAACTTTACGAGAAGGTAGAACGGCTGCAGGCATATTCTAGAGAATCTCGCTTTATGGGTCACCTTAAACAGCTTTGATTGTTGGGTAAAATTCATAAAGGATGCTAATGAAAATATCATAATGAACAATGTCTTTAGACTCTGCGAGCTTTAAATTGTTTAAAACACAAGAAATCATGGACTTATTCATATAAAATCATTTGTATTTAGAGTTTAATAATGTTTAACAACTCATTTATAATATAATGTAAGAACAGGAAATAAAAGTAATTTATATGAGCCATTACAGGAGATTTCTCTCGAGATTTTCTTTTCTAAAGGAAATAGTCAGCTTTTGCTGAATATGTGTATAGAAGATAGCTTCAATAATGAATGAAACCAATATCAATTTCAAATGTATAATATCCCATCTTTGATCAAAGAATTAAGTACAATTTAGAAGGTTCTTTTTTAGTACAATTTTCCATTTCTGTTGGGGATCTCGTACAGCTTTTACATCAATCTTTTAGTACGGTTTAGCTTGTGTTAAGTGACCGCCGTGCATGGACTTTTGCAACACCCGTAGAGTTTAAGATGCGTTGCCACCTTTAAAAATGTGTACCCCTTAAAATATGTAGAAAAAGTGCGAAAAGATTGTCGCCGCTGTGGGAATCGAACCCACGTCTTCGGCATTCGCGGCCTGACACTCTAGCCACTGAGCTAAACGGCTGATGACCACACCGACGAAAATCTTAACGCATTCCTCTACATTGTTTTCTTAGCATTTGAAGCAATGCTTGGCGCCATCTATTGTTATATCCTTTCCAGCATACAAACAATTTCGAATATCGTTTTACAACGATAATTCGAACGAGAGATGTCGCCATTGCTTTTTTAGAAATTTAAATTGTTTATAGTGCTAATCTTTGCACTTAAGATTGAACATTAAAATATGTAGAAAAAGTGCGAAAAGATTGTCGCCGCTGTGGGAATCGAACCCACGTCTTCGGCATTCGCGGGCTGACGCTCTAGCCACTGAGCTAAACGGCTGATGACCACACCGACGAAAATCTTAACGCATTCCTCTACATTGTTTTCTTAGCATTTGAAGCAATGCTTGGCGCCATCTATTGTTATATCCTTTCCAGCATACAAACAATTTCGAATATCGTTTTACAACGATAATTCGAACGAGAGATGTCGCCATTGCTTTTTTAGAAATTTAAATTGTGTTAATCTTTGCACTTAAGATTGAACATTAAAATATGTAGAATAAGTGCGAAAAGATTGTCGCCGCTATGGGAATCGAACCCACGTCTTCGGCATTCGCGGCCTGACGCTCTAGCCACTGAGCTAAACGGCTGATGACCACACCATTTAATGTTCAATCTTAAGTGCAAAGATTAGCACTATAAACAATTTAAATTTCTAAAAAAGCAATGGCGACATCTCTGTTCGAATTATCGTTGTAAAACGATATTCGAAATTGTTTGTATGCTGGAAAGGATATAACAATAGATGGCGCCAAGCATTGCTTCAAATGCTAAGAAAACAATGTAGAGGAATGCGTTAAGATTTTCGTCGGTGTGGTCATCAGCCGTTTAGCTCAGTGGCTAGAGCGTCAGGCCGCGAATGCCGAAGACGTGGGTTCGATTCCCACAGCGGCGACAATCTTTTCGCACTTTTTCTACATATTTTAATGTTCAATCTTAAGTGCAAAGATTAGCACTATAAACAATTTAAAATTCCCTGTTACCTCACTCAGCATACAAAACGCATTGTTTGAGTTTTGGATGGACCTACCACAGGCGGTTTTAACACAATCTTCTGATTGCAGGAGAGGTCTGAGCGCGTACAGCGCGGCGGGGGGTGATGCCGGTTCGGAAGGGGCTGCTTGCGCCCCAGAACACTTTTCTCGATACAATTGCCACACGATTCGATGGCACACGTGAGTATCTCCTCTAATGAATTATTTGGTTTGATTCTAATGATTAATTTTTTGCAATCTGCTGTGTCAAATACACCTCAAATTACTGATTCTATCATGGGTATTTTTTTTCTCTTAATGTTCATTTCATAATTCATAAACGGATAATAATAACTGTTCGCAAAAAAAAACTACAAATAACCCAACCGAATATAACACATTTTTTAAATATACCTAAACTTTAAATAAACTATCTTTTGGATTTCGTCGGGCTTGGTAAGTTCTTACATTCCCGAGATTTTGAACACTGTACAGCAAACATGGTCACGTGACACAAATGGGATTTACGTCCTTACGTTTAAGTTAGCATGGGCAAAAATCAACTATTTAATTACTTACATTGATCTATTCTATGCAGAATGAGCTATTTCTTTTTTGAATTTCAAAATAATTTGACAAAACTGTTGGACATATTAACAAAAAAAAAGTTTTTTTGTTGAAAACACATTGTCCTTACTTTATCCAGTGTTGCAAGGACGTTTTACGTTACCCAGATGCGAAACAACTATCTGTGGGTCACACAAATAGTTGTCCCGTTTGGGGATCGAACCCACGACACCGAAGCTAATACCTTGGCAACTGCGCTACGGAGTCATTGTAATTATGTTTAGACCACGCCTATAAAAGCTATAAAAGAACAACTAGTACAGATTCAAAGACATACAGTTAAACGAGGATCATGTATATTAAATACTTCGCCGAATTGGCATCGACTTCGATTAACGGTCAGTTATTTCGATCACGAAGTGTGGTTCCGGCGCATTGACCGAATCATGTCAGTAAAATTAGCCACATATTCGCGAAAGTGCAACGCGTTACGTGTCATGACTGCTGTGATATTATTTTTAGGTATGCCCTTATTAAAAATATTAAAAGAATGCGGTGATATGTGAGAAATTAAAATGAAAATGTGACACGACTAGACAGAAGAATTATGTATATACCAATAAAAAGATTGTTAACCTTCGTAGCGTTATTAATATAATTAAATGAAAACATTTATTAACACGAGTAAAGCTGTAAAGGCCAGGACGATGAATAATTGCATTCGAAATCGTAAATGCGTAAAATCCGCTATTGGTGAGATTTTATAAATAACTATCATTATTCAGTCAAGGAAACAATAATAAATGTGCCGAAATAAAATCATGCTATTCATAAAGCGCCTCGAGTTCGTTAGGGAACGAAAACCTGTACAATGTTTACGATATATGGGCCAAATTCCCGTGAATGGATACAAGGATGTGTTAGATGTTAAACTGCTTTTATAATCACAGGTATTAACTTTTCAACCTCAATTAAATTTTATATAGGATAGTAACTTTGAATATTAGATAGAAATGTATAGGATAGTAACATCAAATCAAATATATCTTTTGGAAGTTAAGTCAGATATAACTTCATGTTCAAATTATACTTTAAAGTTCGCTCTTATTGTATTAGCTTAGTGGAGCGTCGGGGCGCGAATCTGGAAGACGTTTGTTTGATTACCTTAGCGGCGAAAATCTTTTCGTTAATATTGTGAATAAATATTAATGTTTCACCTTAAGTGCAGAGACAAGAACTATCAAAAAAACTTAACGATGTAACTATGTACTGGTGATTATTTAATTAAAACAAATTATAATTATAAAAAAACTTAATAAGTACATAATCTTCAATACATACATACTATAAAATTATAAAATTTTAAGAAACCCCCTAACACAAAAAAACACCATTATCGGTCCATACGTTTAGAAGCAACCATGCCATCGACAGACACACAGATATACAGACAGAGACGCAAATTTATAACAACTCTCTATTTTTGTCGGGAGTTAAAACCTCTTTGATTATTCGAATCATATCGAGGCCAATCGTAAAATGAATCCCTATTTCCCTTGGTTACTCCATCACGCGTGAACGGTTGGACAGATTTTCACTTTTTTTTTGTTGTGTTTGTTATTATCAGGATAAGGTTCTTATGAAAGAAAAACTAAAAAATTGCCTGAAAAAGGGTAAAAACAACACTTCTATATTCCCGTACAAATGATTCGTAATAATGCTTAAAAGTCAATTTGAACTTTAATACCATACCATAAAGTGTTAATGGAGGGGTTCCGGGAAGGCAAAACAAGTGAGTGACTGTGGTAAAATGTCACTTGAAATGTAAACGTCTCTTTGCTGTGCATCACTACATAGTATAAAATAAAGTCGTCCCGCTGTCTGTCTGTCCCTATGTATGCTTAGATCTTTAAAAATACACAACGGATCTTGTTGCGGTTTTTTTTCTAGATAGAGTGATTCAAGAGGAAGGTTCATATGTATTATACACTGCAAACCCGTGCGAAGCCGGGGAGGGTCGCTAGTATAAAAAAAATGTTATGATAGCTCGGTCGGTAATCGGGCGGCCCGGAAACAGAAGACCACGGTTCGTGCTACGATCATTTACACACTTATTTTTTTTACTTTTTTTTATACCAGATCATTGCTTTCTTTATTTTTATTTTTTTAATTTCCAAAATACATGATTTACCAAAAAAAACAAGCAAAGCTCGGTCCTCCAGGTACTACATACAAAGCCAAGACGCGAAAGTAATGTCCACAAATATCTTTTGATCACAGATAGCAACTTTGTGTTGGGCAATGCACAAGTGCCTTCGTACCCTATCGTATACTGCTCCGACGGTTTCTGTGAGCTGACAGGCTGGGCGCGCGCTCACATCATGCAGAAGGGATGCGCGTGCAAGTTCCTGCACGGATCAGATACAAGTGAGGAGCACCGCCGTGAAATAGACGCCGCCTTGGACTCTAAGCACGAACTAAAGCTTGAATTAATATTCTACAAAAAGACTGGTAATTTTTTATTCTAATTAAAGAAAAAAACTGAATATATTCCATGCTAATTGAAGAATTGATTAATTTTGATCATAAGATTTCATGCTTAAACTTCTATACGAGGTACATAAAATAAGTCAGTATTGGACACAATAATTTCGACATGAATATGTTCCAGGTACTTACGTAAAAGTAAAATCTTCTGGATAAATCGGATCGTAAAATTAATATCTTAACTTTTTTCTCATTTTCAATTTCCCAGCTATCTCTAAGTTTTTCGCCGGAACTGTAGATTTAAATTGAAATAATAAAGCAACTTACGTATCCTTTGACGTAGTATTAAAAATTGTAGTATTAAAAAGTTAAAAAGAAAATAACATGGATAAAGCAATACCCGGCATAGAAGATGTTACTTATCGTGCACAGGTCTACTTTGTTATTGTGAATTGTATTATTGCAATGAAACACGTATTTTTCCTTTAATTTAATTATGTGATTACCTTTTGATTTCCCCTCTTTTGTTTTATATACTCACGTTGAAAGCCGAGTATATTTACAGGCTCTCCATTTTGGTGCTTGCTCGACATCGTTCCAATTAAAAATGAAAAACGTGAAGTGGTGTTGTTCCTTGCTTCGTTCAAGGACATTACGAATACAAAAATGGCCGCCATGAACACTAATGAGGAGTTCGATAGCGGTAAGCACTTTGTTATAATGAAGCTTTCGATTCTCGGCAATAGTATACAATCGTGAGGGTATTAATAATTCAAAACATTTATATACATACGCGGCTACATGTAAATACATAATGAATAATTTATTTTGAATAATTATGTTCGTACATGAATAAGCACGTCTTTCTAGAATAATACATTCTGTCAGGTTCTATTATGTTAGATTCAGCTCCTGGTTGGCTGTAGCAAGTTACGAACATCATCGCACGGTAAAATTCCTACATCATGTTCTTAATAGTTATTAATAGGAATGTTATATTTGTTAATTCTCGTAAAATTATTGTATTCTCTACCCACCTGTCTCATAACCTCGAGAAATTAATTTACTAGTAATTTATTTATCGTAATTCCTTTCGTTTTTATAAGTTTGTAGTTAGCATTATTATACAGATCTTGCATCTACAGATGATTTAAAATTTATTAGTTTCCTATACTATAAAAATCGAAAGTCAATATTTTATTATACAACGAGTAACAAAACAATACGATAATACTTGTTTAAATGTTCTCTTTGTATTGTTATAGTTTCTATTTGTACCAAGTCAATCAGCATTTTGCTGAATTAGACCCTCCGTTACCCCGCTTACTAGATAAACTATATTAGAAATCAATCACGTAGTATTTGTGTTTTTACTCTCTACGGATCCTTTTAAATAAATATAAAAAGTTTACTACATTTCAAATATTTTTAAGTGCAGTTAAAATATTTTTTTTTATTGTCGTACGTTGCATTCAACATTGTTGGCAAATGTCTGTCTGACTTAGTACAATTAATTTCAGTATGTTTCCCGCTTGTAGCAGAGTTAGTATTCCATTAAAGTCGCGCACTTATTTTCTTTGAGTAGCATCATTTTAGTCTATGTTGAATTTTGTACCTATGTTTGTAAAAAATTACCTTACATTTTATTAACACTTTATTTTTATAAAGAACATATAAATTCTATTATTCCAAGATTTGTCAATGTTATTGTTGCATAATGTTGTGTATTATTTCATAAATTTTATTATTAGATTTTGTACGTCACGTTGAAATGGTAATGAAAGATTAATTTAATTCATTATAGTTAAATATGACAGAAGACAAGTGCTTATATAAAGTTATATGCAATTAAAGCTTTAGAACATACGAAAATGAAAACCTATATTGAAATTGCAATCGGTGCTGTTTGAAATTTGACTAGGAGTTTAAACAGTAACGAGGCGATTTATGCGTGCAGGAGCCGCGGTGCGGCCTTCAGCTGGCGTGGTCACTCTAGCGTTATCCCCATTTGTACCCGCAGCGGCACTTTTGGGCGCCCGGTTTCGAGCTGAATCTAGTTGCCTACTTCCAGACCCTAATGGCAATCTTGACCCCGAAGCGCCTTCGCCCGCCAACATGGGCAGGCGGCGCTCAAGGGCCGTACTCTACCAGCTTTCAGGACATTATAAGCCAGATAAGATGAAGACAAAGCTTAAACTAAATAATGTTAGTAAGGTAAATAGTAATTTTCTGGATACGTGGCAGCGATTTCTACCATGTGACCCGCGTGGAAGACAGAGAACTAAAGCGTGTCCGAAATGCTATAAAAATATTTTACTTAAATTTTGAATACAAAAGTCTTCCCTAAAACTGGTAGTTTAAAGGGACATTGCTTTACTAGAAATTATAATTGGGGCTGCGCTACATCACTGTCTGATTGTTACTGATAATAAAGTCGAGCAAAGTACTACTTCATTGGTCTATGTTCGATTAATTAGAAGGCGTACTTCTTCCTCCGTTATTATAAATGTACATAATATTTTATACATATGACACAGTGGCAAGCGAGCAAGACGTTTACCAATTTTAAAGTAATCACCGCCAATAAGTTGCGTTTAATACAGTTTGCCCCGGATAATCGCAAAACGAAATGCAAAAGTAGGTATAAATATTTCTACTTTACGGGACTGACTATTCTTACATAAGCTGCAAACTTTACCACAGCAATGAAGACCTTTATTTTAAAAGTTAGTAGACTATCCATCTGTCATCACCTTTAGGCCAAAACAGTATACAATAGAGAGCTTGTTCTTTGACGTTAATGTCAATCTCTTACTACATCAAATAGACAAATTTAAATCCTAATAGATGTTAGTTAAATCATTATAGATGTCATAAATTGAGCAACGTAAAACGATCTTCTGAAATCACTTCATTACTTTTATCTGTGTACACTTTTAGAATCTGCTCCACTCGTCGGACCCTCCTTTGCCGGAGTACAAAACGTCAGCAATAAAAAAGTCGAGATTTATTATCTCGCATTATGGCGTTTTTAAAACCTTCTGGGACTGGCTAATCCTTATAGCTACTTTTTATGTAGCTGTAGTAGTTCCGTACAACGCTAGCTTCATGGATGAAGGGCATCCGAGGATAAGCGTGACCAGTGACGTCGTCGTCGAAGCTCTTTTCATCATTGGTACGATGTGCTTTATTTATGTTCCTTAAATGTTACTGTAATCAGTCGCTACAAATTACTCACAATCTGTTTAAGCAAGAAAATTTTGTATGTTTTATTGGTTCATTTTCGAAATTTTGTATATTTTTGAAATAATAACGAAAAGAAGAGAAATAAAAAATTCGAAAATATCTGAAGTTCGCCAATCCGCATTGATAGAATATGCCCTAATACCCTCTGTACAGAGGAGGCCTTTGTCCAGCAGTGGGACATATACAGGGAGGCTTTTCTAAGTGTATCCATTTTTTTTATTTAATTCTAGACATAAATAATGTTATAAGATAAATATTTTAATCGTAATTAATTAAATACATGCATTTGAACTTGCGTGATTTATGGGCAACTCATTTATTTCACGCTAGATCATTCATACACGCACACAAGTTCGTTTCAAATGTATACGCATTTATGAATGACTGCTGAATGACCACATTGTCAACAAGTTCTGTTTTTTAAGGAATGGAATGGCAATTTTTTTGAAAAAATAAATAGTTTTATTTTATTTCAGTAAACGATTATACTACCGAGTCTGAACCTCCTGTGTTAATTTGGGCACCTTTAGAAAAGCCACTCTGTATAGGCTGTTTCTTTACTTGTGCTTACCTACTTTTTTTGAGTTATTTGACTTAACTTGTCTAGGCTAAAAATAATAAAATTTCCTTAAGTAATAAAAATCTATCATGTCCCTTATCCCTTTTTAGACATAGTGCTCAACTTCCGGACGACATTTGTCAGTAAAAAGGGAGAGGTCGTATCTGATTTTAAAGCGATAGCTCTTAATTACATCCGGTCCTGGTTCGTGGTGGATCTCTTAGCCGCGCTTCCGTTCGACCTACTTTACGCCTCCGACGTCTATAGTGGAACAGTAAGTTTTTAATTGTAATCAATATTTTCTTAATTTTCCCCGAGCCGCTTTCAAAGCAGTTCGTTTGCATAGATGAAAAGCAACTATATAAATCTTTGGGATTGTTTCAAATTCCGATTTAGGTGTTTACAAAATGTGTATTTAATTGCTTTAAGGTAAGAACTTCATCTTGAGCTCTAGTATCTATGTCACTATACCTCACATCTACAGAATTCTATTGTTAAATATTTACGAGTATATCAAGACTTTAAATGTTCATAGTTAAATTTTCCCTTCTTACCTTCTTTCCTTTTCAACAAAAACATTTTTTTTAAGAACGAAATGTACGAAAAGAACATTTTTTTTACATTTAAATGTCAACTGAGTATGATACTATTATTGGACATGGGACTGAACTCTGTATTCAAAAAGGTATAGAAATATATAAATATATATTTTAACATCTTTTTTTTTTTTCAGGAATCGACTCACGGTAACGTTCACTTAGTCAAATTGACTAGACTCCTTAGGCTTGCAAGGCTGCTGCAAAAGATGGACCGTTACTCGCAGTACTCGGCTTTGATACTTACACTATTGATGCTCTCGTTTACTCTGGTCGCGCATTGGCTTGCATGCATTTGGTTTATCATAGCCGAAAAGGAAATTGAGAATCACAGAAATGAAAGTTGGGACTTGGGTGAGTCAGTTCATTGCTGTACTTGTACGTTCTCATTTACTTCATAAATCCATCTTCTTCTTCTACCTGGCATTAATCCCGGCGTTGCTGATCCTGGAGTCTGGTCGATGTGGTATAAAATATGTTATTGTATTAAATAAAATATTCTTTTTTTTGCTGTTGATTTTTAATGCTCGAAGACATGCTACGTGATCTTAATTTTTAAATATTGTTTTTTACAGGATGGATTAACAATCTAGCGGAGAGATTGAAAGTTCCGATAGTTAATATATCTCACAGTGAGAGTTACGTGACAGCGCTTTATTTTACATGCTCCTCATTAACGAGTGTAGGTTTCGGCAATGTATCAGCTAACACTTTACCTGAAAAGGTTTTTAGCATATTGACAATGTTAATTGGAGGTAAGTGGATTTTAATAAACATGTTGTGTTAAATTTGAAATAAAAAATATCTGTAATGATTTATATTGAAAAACTAAGCCGTTTTTCAATTTAAATCATTACATATAAATATAGAGTCCGGTATGGCGGTGAAGTGGTAAAATGAGTTGAGTACATTGATCAGTCAATTTTACTATAAAAATTAGTGTTCTATTAAAACTACCGTCAAGTAGCGATAGTCATATTGCCGTAAAAAGTCTTCAAGAGTTGAATAACTGCGATTATTTTACGAAAATGCAGTAGATTTCATAATGTAGAGATTAAAGTTTATAGTCACATATTATTTATTAATAAACCTCAAAGTAAAAAGTAAAGTGGTCAGGTTGTTGAGAATTCACGACACAAATCCCTGAATCAATTCTTATCACCGAGTTCCATCTTCGGAAGACTAAGCGCTGGACACAACTCCATCCTATAGTTGTCGTTCCGTCTAAATATAACTTAGGGGTCTTCACGACATGAGTGAATAGACTTTTACTCTGTTCGTGCGTTTACCATCTATGGTTGCATCGTCACTTACCATCAGGTGAGATAACAGTTAAGCACTTGGCAGTTCGTGGTATAAGCTATGACAAATTCCTCATCTATTAAATGATTGGCTGTTTGTTTTAAAAATGCTTGTAACCTTATAAAAATCTTTGTTTAAATACGTACACAAAAAAGCGTAAAATTGTACTTATCAAGTTATCACATTAGTTTTTTCTTGTAGCACTTATGCACGCTGTAGTCTTTGGAAATGTTACTGCTATTATTCAGAGAATGTACTCAAGACGGTCTATGTACCAAAGCAAGTGGCGTGATCTTAAAGACTTCCTCTCCCTTAATCAAATACCAAAGGAACTGAAGCAACGAATGCAGGATTACTTTCAAACTATGTGGTCGCTTAATCATGGAATAGACATTCATGAGGTATATCTTTTTGACAAAAATAATCTATTTTTTTAACAATGAAATGTGAAATAAAAGATGCATTGCTTATTATTCTAGACTTTAAAAGAATTTCCAGAAGAGCTCAGAGGCGATGTTTCTTTACATCTGCATAGAGAGATTTTGTCCCTTCCCATTTTTGAATCTGCATCCCAAGGTTGTCTCAAATTGCTATCGTTGCATATCCGGAATAACTTCTGTGCTCCCGGCGAGTACTTAGTACATAAAGGAGACGCTTTGACTTATATTTACTATATATGCAACGGTTCTATGGAAGTGATGCAAAACGACATGGTCGTTGCTATTTTAGGTGAGCATTGTTTTATAGTAATGACTGAATTATATGAAGCAGATATGTAAGTAAGAATATTTAATCGTTTGCGGCTTCATGATTTTTATATTAATTGTAAACTTTACTCATTTTTAGGAAAAGGTGATTTGGTAGGGTGCGATATGAACACGCATTTACACGCTTTCAATGGAACAGGTACCCAGCCAAACAACCCTGATGTGGTTGTGAAGTCAAGCAGCGACGTTAAGGTAAAATACCAAATTGAATTTTTTTCTTGCTTGAGTATTATAAATGATTATTTATAAATTTTACATTTAAAAATATTTTTTTTAATACAGGCTTTAACATATTGTGACCTGAAATGTATTCATATGGGCGGTTTGGCTGAAGTACTTAGACTTTACCCTGAATATCAACAAGAATTCATACACGACATACAGCACGACTTGACATACAACCTAAGAGAAGGTTACGAAGCGGAACAAGAATCGGATGGAAATGGTCATCCTTCACTCACTCTCCCATCCATATCTGAAGATGACGAGAACGTTGCAGAAGAATATACAGTATCACCAAAAAAACCACCAATTACTACTACAAGTAGCCCTCGTCACAAATTTAGGTCTGCTTCCAAAAATTTTCGGATTACTTGCAGAAAATCTATATCAATTTTAAATATTTATTCTATATATTATTTAAATAGTACACAGTTAAACATGTATATACAATATAAGTACAATGTATACAAATTCGCAATGTAAAATATTCGGTCCAAAAATGAACCCTATAAAAAGCACTAGAAAAAAGGGTTTAATCAACGTTTTACTATTTCTTGAATGGTTAAGTAGAATAAGAATCGGTAACATTATTTTGAAAATGTTTGAGACCTAGCTGCTGCGTGCTTTTTGCAGAATCGTTAGTTATATTTAAGTATCGTGTCATTTCTTTCATGCGTATGTATTTACTATTCTTCTTGTAAGAACATGTACATACACTGTAGAAATAAATAGTTGAAATACTACCATATAGTTTACGGTATATGTCCATTGTCCATTCATTATAAATACCATAATTTCAGATCTGATAGCCAACGTTTAACTCATAGAGAATTACGCGAAAAAATAGAACGACAACGCAGTGTCGTAACTCCCAAAGTAGGAAGAGCTGATTCATTAGAGGGTTTGAACCTGGAAGTACATAATACCAGGTCATCCGTTGACAGACTAGACACGCAAGTTTCTAGTCTACATCATGACGTTGCCGCCTTAAGTATGGAGGTGATTTCTGTCATATTTAGATATATACACGGTTAACATTTTTATGAGAATATTACTCATAGCTACATTTCTGTAGGTTCGTAACGCTATCCAGGCGCTCCAAGAAATGACTGGCCCTACCGGATGGCATGCTGCTCACTCCAATCCGAACCTTCAATGGAACGCACCTCCTAATCAACTTGCTCGAAGCTGTAGCCATCCTCCTGACGTATTTTGTTGGGATCAGGTAATTTTTTTTTTTGATGTGAGAAGGTGTCAAACGAGCTGGCGGTTCACCTGACGTTAAGTGATACCTGCCGCCCATTGACAATTGCGAGACTAAGAAAAGTAGGGCTGCAGATGCGTTGCCACTTTTAATAAAATGGGCCCCAGCTAACTCAAGTAATCAATCAGCATATCTTAAGATGTATATGTAAATAATAACATGTTTTTTTTTATATAGCAAGAGAGACCAATCACGCCGGAAAGACCGAAGATCCATCGCAGCACACAAACGGAACCTTTCCTGCATTCTGTTACACAGTATATAATGGAGCATCCTGCTACGGTGATGCTGCTCTTAGGCATAGACCCGATGGCCAATCTTGCCCCCGTAATGCCGCCGTCTGTCGAGTTCTACGACACACGTGGGCGACGGCCTAGCGCGCTAGAGCAGATTATAGAGACAGAGAACGGGAGTCAGACCCCGTCCAGCACAGCCAGTGATAAATTTGAACTAAATAGAAGTTTCAGTGGGAGTGCCAAAGAAATACAGGTACAACAAGAAATGCAAGAAAAAGTAGACAAAGACTATAGAGCTTCAATTTTAAAAAGAAACAGATATTCTGCCAGTGATATTTGTGAAGCATCCGAAAGATTGCTGCCGTTAAAAGGATCGCAGCCCAGTACTTACAGTCTTAAAGCTAATATTAATGGTTAGTTGTATCTCCATCCTGCTCATTAGTGTTATTTAAAATAAGAACATTACCAAAATCATTTTAGGTTGTATTATTCATATTCACTAGTATTTACGTAATGTGTTACTTAATTTTTATTCTTAAAAACTGACATTTATCTAATTTTGATTTATTATGTACGAATGTGCATATTTTAATCACGAGCGATTTACCTATTTAGTAATGTATTCGGTATGTATTAAGTAATCAGCAATAAGAAAAACTTATTATATACTCATTAAATTTGAAAAAATAACAAATAATAGTTGCTAATAAATAGTTGCATTGTAAAAGAAATAATGTAAACAATAGTAAAATTCGATTTATTTTACCATTATCCTTTTAATGAAAACTCTTAGATGCTAATATACCTACATAATTATGAACTACCTATTGCGGATGCCACTAAAATGCCGCGAGGAAATAAAAAGAAATGTATCTTCCTCTATGTATTTATAATTTAATTTAAATATTTAATGTAATCATTTGTTTATTTATAATTTATCAAATATTAAAAACAAGTATAGTATAAAAAAAACCATTCCCTGTTAGGTATTTTAAAATGTATGCGGATTTCGGAAAAAACCTTTTACTGTCAATTGTAATAAATACACTTATATTTTATGAAAAATTTTGTGAAATAACTTCTAACTTTTTTAAACTCATACTACTTCGTATCGTTGTTTTTACTCTTAGTGTCAAAAACAAAGTGTAGTTATTTATACCTGTAAGAACTAAATAAAAATAGGTTTAAAATTGTCTTCCTTGCAAAATATCAGTATTATTACATTTAAAAAAATATCTTAATCAATTTAATATTAGCTACATACAATTTACAAAAATTAAAATGAAAAGTCATTTTAATTCTCGCGTTAAATCGAAAATTTCATTTAAGTTAAACCTAGTCGTATTAGTTTTACAAAAGTACTATAACTATCTACAGTATCAATCACATAAAAAGGTGAAAAAAAGTACTTACATATGTTTTAAACTTATGACGTAATCAAAAGTATTTTACTATTTCGATATTTTATTTGTACTTATTCTCTTAAACTCAAGAATACAAGATGAGGAAATAGTACGAGAATGTTAAAAATTATGATTTTTTAACAACTACAACATCATGGTAGTATAATTTGTTTCGTTTTAATTTGCACAAAAGACGATTATTGGACTTTATGTCGTTTAATAGATATATAGACCGTTTATCAAGACGCGTTAAGCCAATTTTTCATTTGAATAATCGCATAATTTTCGATTGCGTTATTTTTTTATTTTTAAACAGAAATATTTTTTATTTTTAAACATCAATTTTATATCAAACCCTTTATGTATTATTTCTAACCATAACTGGTAATCAGTTATTTTAAGGTTTACGAAGAAGCCCAAGGCTATATTTACCAAAATTCTAGTCGTAATATGAAAGGCAACAGATAACAAGAATATCTAAAAAGTGACGATATCGGCAAGCATAAAACATTTTTTCGCTGTAAATAAAGATATAATCGAAATGTATATTGCTTAAATATTGAGTTCATAATTTTTGTTTCTGTAAATTAAATATGTATTATATAACATTTAAGAAATGTTAACTTAAATTATTCGAAAACTATAATCGGATAGTAATTAAACGGAAACGCTTATTAGCATAATGGAATAATTGTTAATATGTGTGTGATAACATTACTTTTGTAGTCAAGAATGTGATATGGCGTTTGGAAATACGTGTGCAATGCCAAGGTTTTTTTTTGTCCTAAATAATTCCTATTTTCTTCTTTTTCATGAAATAAGAAACACATGTTTAATATTTTCCATCGTTTCAGTGCATGTTTTACGCACCGTAGAGGATAGATTTTGTGTTTAAACACGATGTATTTGACCTTTCTCTTGTAGTACAAAATATTAGTTATGTAAAGTTAAATAAAGACAGATTGATGTTCCGTCGTTGTTTTATTATTTGAAGCTGTGGTATCAAAAACAGAATTAGTCCTTGTGAGAGTTAAACGATTTAATAATATGGAGAGTCTCAAATTCACCCCATATAGAATTGGCTGTGGAATTAAATCAATACACTCAGTATTGAGGCACCAAAAGGAGTATAAAAGAACAATTTTATCAAATTTAACTCAAATCAACAAGGAAACATTATCGCGAAATTTTCAAATTAATAATCGACATTATTAATAATTTAATTCAAATCTAAATTTCAAATGTCTCGTTTTTGCAACTTCGGTGTGAATGAGGATACAATCTCTACCAAACCGGCCAGATTGGCTTACGGATTATTTCAGAATATTTCAAATTCCATGATACCAAAGTTACCTTCAATTTCTCTTTATATTTAACTTTGTAATACTTGCACTGTCGAAAAATTGAAATTGTATTCTATATTAAAAAATATTACGGTAAATTGGTTGGCCTGAAAAGGGCATACCAACATAGTGACACTCATTTCTCGTTCATTGACCTGTTTTCTAGTAGCTTTAAGAACTTCATCGAGAACCGGGTTACAGACGTTCAGGAACTCTTAACTTTCAAAATGTTTAGATTTTGATTTTGATGTATAAGGTTGAAAGATTACAAAGAAACCCTTTCATTCAACTTAATTGATGACATTTATTTAAGAAAATATAACTTTGTAAAATTAAGTATTACCGATTAATAAAAGTGTGTCAGTATTGGCATGGTAATAAACAATCCAAACTCATACCGCTTTTATCACGTAGTCTTTTTTTTGTGAAAAGTCCCTACCACCGAAAAGTCAATGTAGTTAGTTGGTTGATTTGAAAAGTTCTGGCAGAACAGTGAATTTGTATATTCACGTATACCGAGTGATTCGTTAACTCTTTTTCTTAGGAAGTTTGCTAACGATGTGTTTAAAGGAATTCATATAAAAGAAAGCATAAGATTTTTTTCAATAAAAAATAGTTTTAGTATAATATAATATCAGTTTATTTACTGGATCATAAATCTCTGGAGTACTACGAGCTTGAACACGAACGGACTTAGAAGGGGTGGAGATGCCTCAACACTTATTCAAAAATGTTGTTGACCTACTTGTTCACGGGGAGGCCCGTCGCTGACAATTTACCGCATGATGTTCATTTTCAGTTTTTTAAACGAAAAATTACATACCTAACGTGTAAATAGATGTTTCTAAATTGGATATCTCCGACAAAATAACGAATAATATAAGATTAATTATTTTATATCATATTTTATATCAGTGATGAAAAAAAAACCTTTTACAAATAAACTTTTAATGATTACACAATTCTTACATTAGTTAGAGAAATCATTCTTGATATATAAAAGTAAAGTACATGTCCCACTGCTGGGCAAAGGCCTCCTCTATACAGAGAGTATCAGGGCATAGTCCACCACGCGGCCCCACTGCGGATTGGCGGACTTCACATATCTTCGAAAAATATTTTTTTTTTTTGTTATTATTTCGAAAATATGCAGGTTTCCTCACGATGTTTTCCTTCACCGCTGAGCACGTGATAAGTCAGCACTTAAAGTTAAAAACTTCATTGGTGCCGGCACCGGGGATTGAACTCAGGTTGCTCGAGTATATTGAAATAAAGGCGAGCGCCCGGACACTGAGCTGACTCTTAATATATAATTATTATTATTATTCATGAAATATAATTTAAAAAAACTTTTGACGCGTATTAAAAGTTTCTCCATATCACGATTGAAAGATGAACGTGACAGAGACTTATGTTCTGTTCTATGTTGACAATAGATTCCACGGTACATTCCGTAAAAGCTAAAAGCTGACCTCCTTTGTCTAGTGAAACACTCATTTGTAGGCTTTGAAACAAAGAGTCTAGGTAATGACATGCCTTTTAACGAAATCAAAATACCGAGTATATAGGCCGTGTATAAGTATATGTACATACATATGACTACGAGTAGATAATAAAAATAAGCTTGTCAAAATGTAATCATAAATAAATTAATAAATGTAGTTAGATACGTTTTTGTTTTAAGTAAAATTTAAAGGATATTTATTACCTACATTGAATTTTCTATTATTTGTACTTCTGTCGCCAAGTGTTGGAAATCACATGTATTAAAATTTAACGTACTAGTATTTTGCTACTTTTCGGTTAACTTCGTTTAAATGTTTTCACGTCACATTTTTTGACAATATTTTACAGGAAGCGATTTTTTTGTGTGAGTTTTAAAGACAATGCAAACCAAAATGTAAGCTCGGAGGTAGATTTAAATTATAAAAACCAATAAGAAACTCATTAAGACTGTCAGAAATAAGCTCAAAAAAAAAAGAATTTTTTCAAAAAAAGTTTTTGTTTGATTTACTTATAGATGTAAATTTTCATTAGTCGTTATTGTGTTATTGTGTTATTTTCTTTAGAATAATGTACCAGATTTGTGTTCTAATTAGTAGGTATTGTGTTATTGTCCTTGAATTAATGTACCCGCTTTGTGTTAATCTTAGTCTAGTTTGTTATTTATATTTTTAATTTTTGGTATATACTGAAAATCGGGAAATCTCACCGAGTACATAGGTATGTAAAAACCAAATAGGTATAATTATATACAGTTTCATGTCTTACATATATATTCTTTTAATTGTTTACATAACTGTGTTTGTTGTTGAAACTAAATAAATATTCATTCATTCATTCAAATACGATTAATCAAAAATTTACGAACATACATTCTTACGGTGGTAGAGCCATGCAGCAGCCTCGGCTGTTGTACGAATGGGTAGGCTCGTCCGGGTAAGTACCACGACCTCACAGAAGACCGTCGTAAAGTGGAAGTATAATACTTTCGCGTTTCATCTGGTGAGTGAGGTGGCCGGAGCCCAATTTTCAAAAGATTGTCAACACACCTGCAACCCTCGGGTAGCAGATGTCCATGGGCGACGGTATTCACTTAACATCAGGTGAACCGTCTGCTCGCTTGGCAACTTTTCACATAAAAAAAAAATATTGGCCCCCGCCCAAGA